CAAATTAGTGAATCATATATTACCTAGATCAATATCTTAACATTAATTATGTAAATCCAGTATCTCATATTATTATATCATTAAGAATATATTATAGTTATATTATCAAATTATAAAAAGATATTAAATCTATATTGTTAAAAAAAAATCATAAAATTTTATAACAATTCTACTACACTATTTAACAATATTCATTTGAATTATATAATAAAATAATAATTAAATATTATATGATGAACAAAATAAGTAAAACAGTGACTTTCTCTTATATCAAGGGATAAATTTATATGCTAAATTTAAATTTTTATTAGTATAAATGTTTTGGTGAGAAAATATATTAATTATTTTACAAGCTAACCCTAACATGTTCATATTTAATTAATGTTCTGGCTAAAATAACAACGTTGGTTAAAAGATGTGTAAAAAAATTTATAACCATATTATTTTTTAGACTTAACGTTGATTAAAAGAGGTAGAAAATAGATAATAACCCTATTACTTTTTAGGCTTAAACAAACAAGGATGTAAAAATAACTCATTTAATATCTCTGTCTCGTGCATCGCACGAGGTACGTACTAGTTAAACAGAAAACAATGTACCTCTGTAAACCGTATCTAAGAAAATAAACACTTGACACCTATATATATTAGGATTGTAAATAAATCAATTAAATTATCTAGCAGGATAATAAGTATGATTTATATTGATTTTATGAAAATTGTAAAGTAAAATATAACGGAAATTGTAAAATGTCTTTCTTGATAATCGATAGCTTTATTATTTTAAAATTGTAAATTACTTAATTTAAGGAAGGAAAAAATTGTGTATGTGTATGGAATCAATTTCAAAATTGTATTCTATAGGATTAAACAAAACCCAAATTTTTAGGATATATGTTCCAATCCGATTTCATTTTGAATTTCAGATTAACATTAGCTAACTATGTTTTATGGTTAAAAAAAAATCCGAACAAAAAAAAGTAGTAGCCAAATGATATGAATTTTTAAATTTTAATTATCAATTTGAAATTGAGCCGATTTCTATGCAATCCAAATTTTATTGTTAATAAACATGATCTGTTACAATCAGATAAAGATACATGTTATAGTATTTTGCCTAATTCGAAATTTTCTATTTTATGGTAAACAATCTTTTTTTTAATAAAAAAATGAGAGTATTTTGACTTTTACAAAATTGTCATGCCGAATTTTACATAAATTAACCTGATTTCTATGCAATCTGATTTTTTTAATAAAGAATTGACCTGTTGCAATTAGGAAAAGATATATGCGATAATTGTTTGCCTAATTCGAAATTCTCGATTTTATAATAATCAATTTTTTTATTAAAAAAAGAGAAAGAATTTTGACTTTTGCAAAATTGTAAGCATCAGTCGAAATTTACCTAAATCAAATCTACAAAACCTATAAATTTAGGGTGCATATATAGCTGCTCGATTTTTTGGGAATAATTTAAAAAGAAAATTTAAAACTGCTGAAAATAGAATACAATAAATGTGGGTTGACTGTTCTTATTACTATTTTTAGTAAATAGTTTTTGTCTTTATATATGTACAAATTGGAATTCTATAATCTATCTATATATGTAAGAAAGTTTTGATTATTTTTAATTGTAACTAATTTCCGCCAAAAAATTATATTTATTTATATAGAAATAAATCAATTTATATATGATATAAAATGAGCAAATTTCTTTTTAGCATTTGATGACCTTTTATGGGTAATAAAACGATAAATATATGATATAAAGTGGGTGAATTTATTTTTGGTATTTGATGGCTTTTTTTATGGGAAATAAATCAATTAATATATAGTATAACATGGACGAATTTATTTTGTTATTTGATGGCCGTTCATATGGGAAATAAATAAAGCAATATATGGTATAAGGGGCGAATTTATTTGGGTTATTTAATGACTTTTTTTCTTTTCTTTTTTTTTGTAGGAAATTGTTGGGAAAATTAATCAATATATGGTATATTTTTTGTCTAAAATGCGCATGACAATTTTTATTTACGGTGTAGGTCACCATTTTTATTTTATTTTTTTGCATGAAATTACCATAATGAAATTACCGTAATGCCAAAAACATAATACGAACGAATATTTTGATATAATGTTTGTGTCTCGATGTTTTTATTATAGAAAATGCTCTCAGTTTTTTGTTTGTAGAATCAATGAGTCTCGATTTAATTTGTTTTTTTTGTTACGGCATTTCAAATAATTTTTTGTGTGAAATGAACTATTCTACTTTTTTAGCATGATGGAGAATGTCTCGATTTTTAGGTATAAAAATTCTGAACAATAATATGACCGACTGTTTTAGAATAAATGTATGTCTCCATTTTGTTGGTCAGCTTTGGGTTCGATATTTTTGACATGAGAAATCTGAAGAATAATATGAATATCTTTTTAATTAGAGTGGAAGTCAATTTCCAATTTGATCTTCTAAAAATGGCTTTGTATGTCATATTAATAATTTTTAACAAAAAACTTTGACAATTTTCTTTCACAATGGCCAAATTGATGAAACAACCAAAAAATACGCAAGATCTACATAAGAAAAAATCGATAATGTCATTTGATTTGGAGCGAAAAGACCCTTTGTCGGCTTGGATTCGGCCTGATCTGAGCTTCTCGCCGATAGAACGTCCCTTGGAACAACAAAAATTCTCACACTGGAGGGGTTTTCTTGTGAATAGTCTCCGATGCTTAAGTTAGTACACTAAAGAAGAGGATGTGTTGTATGTAATATGTATAAGAATGTCATGTGATTAGGAGCATACATCACTCCCTTTTATAGAAAAGTGTTACCTTGCTGCCCAAGACTGCCTGAATGAATTGCCCGAGCTGCCCGTTCGTACTGTCTGATCTGCCTAAACTGTCGAATTATGTTAGGTAATGTGACCCTATCCACGTGGGGTCCTTATCCTATAAATATTATTTCTTATCAATTAGCTTGTCTTATTAGACTGCCTAATCGTGCGACGAACTCGAATCCTGTTGAGGTAGAATACTGCACATACTGAGCTTATGTGTTGTCTTTTTGGTCGATCATACGACCAACCATACCTTCAGGTCGAGTTTCCATCAGACCATCTGAAGGTCCCAACTCAACTTTTTCTTTACCCTTTTATACCCCTCACGTTTTCTTCGACCTGAAGACTCATTGTTTTGTATTGGCGCTGGACTTCCATTCGACCAATCGGTTCACTCGATCAGATGAGCGGGTTTATTGGATTTTCTCTACCTGGTGTGGTATCCCATATCATTTGGTCCCCCACTCTGGTCGAGTTAAGATAACTCGATCTAAAAGTAGATTTTTGTCCTTAATTTTGGTTGATGGACTCCAACTCTTATTTTTCGACATGTTTGCTTGAGTCAATTTTGCAACACAATTATCGACCTTCCCTTATGGTTTTCAATTCAAATTTCAAAATTCAAATCTCGGTCTTCTTGTCAGATCCAATCAATCATAACATTGCATTGACGTCCTCTGTAAATTGCACTGGTCTCGTAAAACGTACCCATTTAATATGATTACCGTTTGATTCGTCTTAAATCAAATGGTTAGATCTTCGTTGTCTTTTCAACTAGCATGTCCAATCTTAGCAGTTGATTTCGACCGCCATCCCACGACTCTTATGGTCTGTCTCTTCGCCCTTGCCGCCTTTTGCTCTTAGCCGTCAATTTCAGCCACGATCCAGCGGTCCTGCTCAGATCGTCTTTCCAGCTCACCCGCTACATCTTGACCGTCAATATCGATTGTGATCCAATGGCCAAAGTCGATTGACCTATACACCTTTTTGCCTATAAATAACCCTAATACCGAAATTTTTCAGTTTTTCGCCTTTGTAAAATTCTCTCGGTATTGCTTGTGCTTTGCCTGTTTTCTACAAATAAGAAGCCTATGCTCCGTCGTGCTCTACCACTCTCTGCAACTTTCCCAAACAGTCAACACCAATTTCGACGATGAGTAAGTTTTCTTTATCTTTCTCTTGTTAATTTTGCATGCTTGATTTTGTTTTTGTCTTCTTATCCAAATTCGCCGACTACTACCAATCTCGCCTTCCTCTTCCTCCTCTTCTCCATATAAACCTAAAAAATGTTCCTCTTTGGTTCTTTTTTTAATCATATTCTGCCACTTCCAAAAAAGCCAACCGATTTTCTAGCAAAGACATGACCTCCCAGTCGTCCTCTTTGACCTCATGCCCTCATTTATATCCTTCTCCTTCTCCATCCCTTTAGCTCGCTCAACAACCAATGCCGATTTATGTGGTTTCAGCCCCTTCTTCTCCATCTTTCCTTAAAATGTTTTCTCATTATTTTTAACACTTAACTTTTATTATTTATTACACATTTTCATATGCCATATATCAAATTACTACTTTCCAATTTTAAATATACATTACATGATATAAAATATATCACTTTTTCCAACTTTAATTGGAAATTTATTTAACTTTTATCCGTTCTAATTGAAAAATAAAGCTGAGGAAATTAGTTTCTTATAATGAACTTTGATCATATGATACACAAAACCTGATAAAAATAGTTACAAGTCCAAAAACTTGATCTATCAACCTTATTCAATGAAATATTTCCTAATTTGCTTTTCTCAACATGCCCAGAAATATAAAATATTCAAGCAAATGCAAGGATCACATACTGTCCTGAGAAACCTGCAAATGAAGATAAACTGCACAAAAATGAAAACCGTCCAAAGGAATAAAATAGAAATCTCACAAGCACACATCAAAAGAAAAGGCGATTCCCCCACAACAGTACCAATACCGAACAATAACCATCTTTCAACATGAAGAGACAGGTAACTCAAGAGTACGCAAAGCGTAAGCACTTATTACTAGCCAATTCTGCAAGTCTGATATTGAGATGATTACTTAACCAAACAAACACGATTTCGATTTAGCCATGGGAAAGACAGATACACAGACTGAATGATAAACGGTAAGGTGACTTTACTGATCGAGGTCAGACTTAACGATGAAATTTTGACGGCTGATCGGGTTCATGACCACAGGGGGGCCTGCCGTGCGGGGCCATGCCTGGAACTTCTTGTCGGTCTCGAGCCACCATTGTTTATTCGAGACAGTCGAAGGAGTTGTACCTAGGATCAAATGTAATATTTAAGGACACAAAGGACAACGTTATTGATAATTGAATTCAAGGTAAGTAGGAAAAAAAACCTCCAAAGATCTTCTGGTCAGCTATCAAGTTGTCGCTAACATACGCGACGACAACAGATCCCAGTATAGCAGGAAAGATGTATTTAGCAGCCATTTCTTTTCAAACTGCAAAAAACAGAATAAAGAGTGGGAATATGAGGCAGATAGTGGATCTGATTTTGAAAACATGATATAATATCGTGATAATAAGCATGAATTGATTCCTACAAACATGGGTTCTAGCTTCTAACTATAGCCAGGTTTAGATCTACTGGATATAGAGTAGTGGAGTTCAAGTTTATGGTATAAATTATCTCTAGAAAAGGAAAAAATACACTACTTTTACGAATTATGACAACTCTTTTTGCCTAACAAAAAAAATCGGTCAGATCAACTGCAAGAGCACATGCCTATCCGTTTTAAGGTCCAGTGAGAATGAGCGCTTATTGAATATCAAATCCACACTAATTGTCCATCAATATTTAATCAGAATCATTGATATGATTATAATACCATCACTTGTAACTCCAAACAAAAGCACAACCATAGACAAAACAATCCAATTTCAGAATAAGTCAATAAACAAAACTAGTAAACTCCAAAATTCGGACAATAAACCAACCTAGCGTAGCTTGAACAGAAATCTTCAGAAAGAGCCTCAAGATACAAATAGGCACAATACAATGGAGCAAAATACAAAACACAGAGACTCCCAGTTAAGCCAAAACAACTCAACGTATGTATAACGTTTATTTACATGCTGACTAATAGAATATAAAGCACACTATTCACAACATAGTATAAGAATATAAAAAGTATGTAAGTAGCAGAAGCATTTATGCAACATATGTACACAAGAACAACAGGTAGAATAATTATAATTTCTACATAAGCTCACATGATGTAGTTAGCCATCAAAACTGAAGGGGCATAATTTTCATTTCAAAATGAGAAAAGAACCAAACATACACAAAAGAACCGCAAGTCAGCTGCGTGGGAACCCTAGCGTTTTTATTTATGCCTAAATTTGCAGTATTCACGTCTCATGCATGAGCATAAATTTATTCATTTTTTTTTTTTAAATGAGAATAAATTGCTAACGTACTAGCTGTGTCATGACTCCAAAACCCTCCAGTACTCCACTAGGACAAACATAGCTTGAAATACATATACTGCACCGAATCTTAAGATACAGGACTTCGTATATTTGTAAATGTACGGCAAGAAGATATTAAGATAGCAGCATTTGTAGCTTTATTCATTTTTTTTATTTTTTTTTTAATTTTAAACACAACTTTCGCTATAAAATGAATATTAAGATAGCAGCATTTGTAGATCTGTAAATGTATGGCAAGAAGATACGGGACTACAACTTCTATTACCGACTCTAGAGCCAAAGCAACAAAAGAACAACTCAAAACCTAACGGCAGTGCTGCCGCAAACTGGACATTAGCAAGCAAATTTTCCAGTTTTTATCTATGCATGCTGTTCAGTGGAAAATATGAATGGTTCTTGCATCTCACATAAAGACAGAACAACACACTTGGATATGACATTGTAAATACCACAAAAAGAAATTCACACGTTAGGAAGGGGAAAATTGGCCTAGAGCAGACAGCAATTTTATTGTGTGAAAAGCCAAACAAAGACAAAGACAAGTTGGGACCAATCAACAATCAAACCCGGAGCTCACAAACTTCATAGACATAACCCTAAAATTTTAATACCACATAATCCCCCAAATCCCATCAAGATTTAACACATCCATTAGTTACAGGAACACGAAAACAAAAGGAATCATTTTCAATCAGCTTGGATTCAAACCAAAATCGAAGAACAAAATGCAAGCTTGGACGACGAAGTGATTAGCTCAAAGAAAACCAATTTTCTGAGAAAAAAATCCACCAACCTTCAGAAGATCTCGACCGATTTATGCAGGCACCCAAATAATTTCAGCTTGAAAGTTCTCTGCGCGAGTAACGGCAATAGAAGGCGGCGGCAGGCGGCGATTTGCAGCGGCGATTTGCAGCGGAGAAAACGATAAGAAAATTATGGAGATAGAGAGATGGAAAAGCAATCGAGATAAAACCCCTCACCTTTGCGAGATGCGACCACTGCGTGTATTCGTGCGTTCAGAGCTTTCTGTGAGCGTGTATTTAATTGGGATTTATAAAGACTTTTAAAAACTTTTTAGGCCTTTAGAAATCCTGGTGTATTTAATTTAGATTTCTCAAGACTTTTAAAAGTCTTGAGATATTCAATTAGGATTTTAAAAAGTCTTACGAAATCCAGGTCTATTTAAGTAATTTAAGGTTAGGATTTATAAAGACTTTTTAAGATTTGCTGGGATTTCTAAAGAAAAAACATGTAGGAAATCTCACTACAAATCCCACCTTTAAACTTAGTATTTTATAGAATTCTTTTAAAATCTGAAAATCCTCAAAAATTTTAAATCTTAAAAAGTCTTTAAATCTCACTCGAATTCCGAAACGAATACACCCCTAAGAAAATGAAGGGATAAGAAACTATACTTTGAGATTTTCTTCTATTGATAAATAACTATTGATAAATAAATATAATTCAAATTCAAATATTGTAATATACATTCATTATATTCTTTATTTTTTTTTACAATATTAATATAATTTTAAATATTAATTTCAATTATTATTAGGCATATATCTGTTATAAATGTTATTTCATTTAGATATATTTAGGTATAACTTGAAACCATAGTAAATAGAGTTCGCACGGTGTGTCTTGAACTAAGAAATTAAAAGCCAACTACCCCTTATTTAAGGGGTGAATAACGGTGTGGTTCGGCAACGAATCGCAAAAACCAAAAATCGAAACTAGCAAAAAAATATAACCGAACGGCATCGTAGCCTAGAAAAAATCGAACCGAATTTTTCTTACAATAAAATAACCGAACCGAACAGAACCGCACCGCAATGCACGGTCCAACTTGATTTTCAGTTTCATTTCAATTTTTTTGTACATTTTATTCAATTTGGTGCGTTCGGTGCAAAACCGCAACGCAGCGAATAAAACCGGAAACCGAACTTATAAAACACTATAACCGCACCGCACCGCACCGCAGTGTTGAAAAAAACCGAAACGAAATCGAAACAAAATTTTATTACATCAGAAAATCTTAACTGAATTGCATCGAATTGCACGATTTTGACTAGGTTTTGCTCACCCCTACTCCTTATAACTCTTTCATTAATAGATTGGTTTGCGTACAATGTACAACTTCAAATTACACGAAGAAGACTCTCCTAATAAAACCAACATTGTACCTGACTCTATCAACCACTTCCATGGCCACAACGCGTGGACTTTAAACTAGCTATGCCTACAAGAGTACTTAAGTTCTTCAGTGATGTAAGAACATTCACTGAATCACAGTAAATATATGCAAAACAAGAAGCTCACGAACACTCAATGAAAGTCTTGAATGCTTTTGGATAATTGCAGGAACATTTCAATGAGACTTCGATCATGCATATATTCAAACTCTTCAAATGTAAGGAGTCTTCTTAGTCCCATGCATTGATTTCTTTCAATGCGAGGTTGATTTCCGTCCAAATGGCTTCCTTTTAGATTGGACGTGATGTTCTTCTCGTTGGAGTTGAGATTTTCTTCAAGCGATCAACTCCTTCTATTTCGTATATGTGCGATCCTTCTATAAATAAATAGAACAAGAATTATAGTAATAAATTATCTCATTTAACATTATCTACTAGATACTAATATATATATGTATATATATATATATTATATTACATATATACATACTCATCATACTTAATAATATAGTATCTTGACTTACATAAATACAAGAAAGACAAAGTGAATCTTCCCTTTTAATCTGTTTTGCTTACAATAAAATCATCAAAATATTAATTTGTCAAACTTTTGTCAAAATTAATTCTTAAAATATCCCTCTTTAGCATTCAGTTCGAAAATTCATATCTTGAAGATGACCTACAAAACAAGTTCAAAAGCAACAAGCAAAACATTTCCATTCTTCAAACACAAAGGGTCATATCACATTACAACCTGCATTGTAAGATCATTGCTTTGAAATTTCAAAACATAATGTTCAAAGGATCAGAGTGCAAACAATTATCCAATAATCCACTAATCGATAAACTTAGCTTTGTGTAAGAACACAATTCTAAAGTACCTGCAGACCTATCATGAAGAACTACTAAACCAAACCAAGATAAGTGTTTCAACATCCAACACAACAGAATATCCTAATATCAATGCACCACCATCAAAACAAACCACAACAAGAGAAATCAAATAACAAGGTTCTTACACGAAGACCTCACTACATCACTCCATCACTTAAAGTGATAACCAATAGTAGATCACTCAGAATTCTCCTCTACATCTTCAGCCTTCTCCTTTTTCAAAATCTTGGATGCCAAAGGACTTGTCTCAAGGTTTGAACGACGGCGGTCGTGAATAACCTTTTGCATCATCTTTAGATAAGCCTGTTAAGTTGCAGCCTCCTTTACAATTTTATTCTAAGGGTTAATATCGTGGGCAAGGAAATCATCCCATTAAGCAGGAACATCAGCAGGTGCGATATCAACCTTAGTTTTTGGCGTAGAATGTTCATTGATCATGCGGGTGCTTACAGTAAGAGGGCGGCAAGGATTTAACATAGTGTCACCAAGGCGAGGGTTAATGGGCACTCCGACAAAGACCAAGTAGGACCAAATGAGACAAGGAAATGTGATCGTTCGACGTGGATCAGAGAAAAGACAAAAGACCACACACACTCGAAAATCACTTGCCCAAAATCACTAGCATATATAAAGACAACACACATTTTACACCAATGGCCGAAAAGGAGAAACAAACTTCAAAACATAATTGATGATTCACAATTTAAAAGATATTCATCATTTTAGACCAATAAAGTAATAACTCACCTTAGTACCTACAAGATTAGCATAGACCCATCTATCTTCAAACTTTTTTTTACACATGGTAGCGACGAAAGCTCTTTTTTTTTTTTCTAATAGAAAAAAAAAATTAGGAAGGTGAGACCTGAAGTTCTCCTTCAATTGGAAAATTGTAGAAGTTTCTCACAA